TCCCCAGTGCTTCTTTTGCTATAATCCTGATTTGTCAACTTTGGACCATGAACTAGGATCCAATTCAACACCTACATAGCACATGAAAATACAACCGAATTGGAGAATTTCTTAATTATGTACATTATCAGTTACATCAAGATTAATTTTGCACTACTAACATCACCGTGTGTAGAATATCCATTTCCAGTCTTGGTTGTTTCGTTGTCCTGCCAAAATGAAATACAAAGCCAATATATGTAAGTTTTCCGTTGAAAGTCCAAGAATCCTGCAAACGCTGCATTCATGGATAAGTTATGTGTGACAAAATAACCAAAAAGAAAATGCACTGCTATATCAAATTGAAGCCTTCTTTATTTATTATAAAATATTTACAATCAGATTTTAGCCACAGTTAATTAGTTACTAGCTGAAGTCCAAATCTGGCATAATTTAAGGCATTAAGTTCCCTGGGGCATTTTAAAACCTTCAGTCTATAAACCTTGTGGTTTATGGTGTGCCTAGGTCCTATTTTCAGGACTTCTCTAGTTATCTTCCATGCAATTCAAAGGGCGAAAATCATTTACAATCTTAAAAACAATTTCATGCGATAATTTTCAGTAAAAGCACCTAGCTGAAGTTAAATTAGTAAGAAGGCTCTCAATTAAACATATAATTGACACCCTACAAAATGTAATTACACGTAGAAGAATATCATTATACTCGGACATGGACCAAGGTCATACCTGATCAGATTGGGTAGCACTTGAAGCCTTTCGAAATCCCATGACCAACCTCCCCTCTGGCTCCAACCGACTAAATGTTACTGCAGAAATAATTTCAAATCAGCCACAAAAGACAAAACAAGATAATTTCAAATCCTAATCATTACATCATAAGACAACAGGAATCAATGCAGGCTTATCTTTGATTTTTAAATCTAGTAAGAACTGATTACCTGTAGACAAGCATAATTAATGTAGCACTATTATGCTTTTAACACAAAACATATTGTATAGTAAAAATATCCTGTGAATTAAATGAAGCAGAATTAATTTCAGCGGAAGAACTCTAAATTAGATGAGGGATGGCTAGGAAGGTTTAAGCCATTTCAACGCATGAAAATGCTGTAAGCAAGAACCAGGAGTATTGAATCATATATTCCAATACATGAGTTGCCTTCAGCATGGCATGTTACCTGTGTCACCAGCTTGCAATTGCATGGACTGTATGCATGGAGTTACGCCTTCTAAAACATACATTCTACTGTTATTGTTGGGCCAAAAGCGAAATTGAAATATCCATTCCTTGCCTTTTGCATCAAGGATTTTAAGTGGCAACCCTTCAGGCTGAGAAATTTGTGGAAAGTAGGCCTATCACATGGGAAATTACATAGCATTATGCAATCTTTGATTGGATTATACTGAAGCCCATGAAATAATGGCACTGAAACACACATCAATCCAAAAATGATTAAGACTCTTACTATTGAAACTGCACTTGAATAACAGCAAGGACACTCAAATATTTTTTGAAAAATTACAGGTATATGATATATCATGCTATGTATTAGACACTATTCCTGAATCCTGATCCTGTGAATGCAATCTCACCAATCCAATTTTCTCCAATCATCACTATCCTCATGACTTTCCCAGCAAAAGACAACGAAAAATACAGCATTCTACAACAAGACCCTACAATGATAATTAGCACCTGAGTTGGCTCCATATGCTAATGGACATGTGACGCATGTCAAGCAAGCAGCAAAACATTGTGTAGTATGCCTTGAGAAAACATCTAATGGGACACGACAAAACACATGGACAGTGGGAAATCCAAGCATTTTGAAGTGTCATGTCATGTTTTACTAGCATGCCATACACAGTGTACAATCATAATTCCCTTTTACAAATTTCAGTTTACCTTGAACATGAAGCATAAACTATAGTCAATCCAAAGGTACCCTTTTCCCCTACTAATTGTTCAAAGAAAGAAACCTCTTGACTAACCTCAGCACATTTTTTTGGTAGCACTAGACGCCCAATTCGCCCAGCATCACTAGCACTCAACGTTTTTTGGAACAATGGAGTTATAACAGAATTAGAGCTGAAACAATGTCAAGGCTCCCTAACTTTCTTAATGGTAATCAGACAAAACTGGAGAAGATGATGCATTAGAGTTATGGATTAACACACTAATTTACAATATATAGGATACTCGAGAGATATCTGGTGTAGCTCCTGATCAGTGCACCGGGGCCAGTACCGGGGCAATAGCTGGTTCCTTCCTCGGGCGTCTCCTCTGGGCCGTCCATTTCGTGCCTGTGATTCACCTGATGAATCAAGTGCAACGTGTACAGGGCCACTAAATTGCTTTCCATGGGGAGGTGGAGGAGTTTGTTGTGGATGACTTCCAGTTACCCCAATTTGACCATTTCTTTCATTTTGATGTGCATAAGGTACAGTCAGACCAAATGGTTGGGTTGATGAATCCTCCTTCAGAGAAGTTTGCTGGCACATATTCAAGCATGAACTAGACTTTTCATCATTCCGCATTCCTGAAACATCGCAATCATGGTAAATAGCCATCTTAATAACATTCTTCATTCTCTCCCATCTCACCAAAGAATATGCAAAATTCTTACCATTTATAAACATCATTTCCCGTGTGCCAATCTTTACATTCCAATTAGCTGGTATTCCAGAAAGATCGTCACTTTTCTTTTCCAGAGATGAGGCAGATATCCTCTCATTTCCATAAATATTGTCAACACTAGATATTTCAACTACAGATGGCATATCCGGGTGCCGGTCAGATGAAGAATTTGTATTGAACAAACTGGGAGCTTGCTTCCATGGTACAGGACCAGATCCAGCTAACTGACTCCAATTTTTTGAAGACAGGTCTCTAAAACGACTTTGAAGAGAAAAAGGTGGTGACCAAGGTAGACTAGGTGGCTGAGATACAGACAACAAAATATAAAGTCAGTGTGCAGATGTTATATCCAAATAGACTATATGAAGTCTGGGCAACAGCCTTTTTTTCTTAAGGAAAAAAAAAAAAAAAAGAGGGAGAAAACCTCAAACAGAAGCTTATCTGCTCATGGAGAAGTTGAAGATTAAGAAATTTAGTTTACACAAGAAATTGCAGGAGAACAATATCTTTTAAGTGATAATCTTTTTCCCTTGAGTTAACTTTAGGGAGAAAACGGAGCAAAAGCCTATAGTAGATCAGTATATGAAAAAATGAACATCACAACACTATGACAGATGAAGCATCTTTAAAAGATGCACAAACGGGCAATAAAAATGGAAAGAAAGGGGGGATTGTGCTTCAAGATAAGTGTCAATGAGTGATGTCTCAATAACTGACACATCTTGAATATAATTTTATTTCCACAGACTTAAAGTCAGAATCAAATAAAGAGATCAAGGGAACAATAATGCATGCAGTAAGTTTATCCCTGCATACTAACACTACATTTATAATAATTGATTCCAATGAAATCAACAATTTCTTAGCTCATTGCCAGACAGAAGAAAAGATTTCAAGCTCCAACATCTTATAAATATATGAATGGCGATCACAAACAATACCTTTCTATCTCACATGCTTGTCAAATGAATGGTCAATATCCTTTTCAGATTAACTGGCTAAAAATATTTGGTTCGCTAAGGAGAAACTTATTTTCTTCTCCAATAATAATACAATTTAACAGTTCTTGAGGTCATTTGGCAGAAAACAGTGTGAAACAGAGATGGCGATTGGCGAACACTAACTTGTCACATGATTTATCTGGAACTCTGATGGGACATCTAGCTAGATTTATTTCATGTTTCGGTAATTTTCATGTTTTTAGCAACTTCTTTATGTTTTAAGTGATTTCTTTTACTAAGTTTAGGTTTTCTTTCACTTTGGGTTTAAGTTGTTGCATCAAAGGCTCTAATAAATGGCTGTAAATTATTCTCAATGTTGGGCTTTTGATTAATTGAAGTTGAGACTGGTTATTATGTTCCAAATTTCTCCCTTCTCCCTCTATCTCTCCAAACCCCCATCCCCCTCTCCTTTCCTTCTCCCACATCACACTGACTGACAGACCTTAATCTTCCTCATGCTTTGCCTCAAACGGTCAATGTCCCTTCCAGATTAACTGACAAAGCAATACTTGCCTTGCTTTCATACAGGGAGAAACCTTTTTCTTCTACAATAACAATACAATGAACAGTTTCTGAGTTCATTTGATAAGAAAGAATGTGAAATAAGGATGCACATAACACAAGTATCAGGCAGATTAAATCATGCCATAATAAAACGAACAAAAAGTGAAGAAATGAAAAACTACCATCAATATGCTTAGAATGAAAGAAAAACCAACCAAAATAATACTCTTCCTGGCACATGCAATGCATTCAATGCCTCCAGGATCCAACATCATAAAGGCTGTACTTGAAACGATACACCCACAGTGAATCCCCTGTAAAGGAAGACTCATCATCAGATAAAAGTTCCAGACTCAACGTGGGGGACACATGTCAAGTTATATGGCATTTAGCAGATATAAAGCAATTGAACCCATTACAATTTAAACTCACCTTCCCACATGTCTCACAAGTCCTCCAACCAGAAGCTTTTGAATGATAAATGTCACAGAACCTTCCTTCCTCAAAAGCAGAACTAAGTGTCACAGAAACAAAACCAAAACTTACAAAGGGAATGACAATAACATGCATAGCATATAGAATGAAATCAGAATAAAAAAATTGAAGGATCAATGGGCATGATTATTTTAAATAAGGCCAATTCACTCCTCTGCCCAGATGCATTAACATGTATAAACCCCAAAAAAAAAAAAAAATCAGTTATTTATTTCCAGCATACACAAACAACCAAGAAAAAAAAATACAAGCGAGCAAGAAGAAAATTTGTTTGACCTAATAATATGTGGGTTCTATTGGCCATCTGGAGCCCATTTTGGCCAATATATATTCCAGTAAAAAAAAAAAAAAAAAAAAAGGAACTACAATGTTCAACCAGAAGAAAACACACATAAAAACATGCCCACATGCATGGAGTCCTCCTTATCAGTTGAATGAACTAATATATCAGCTGCATCAACAAATCTTCTCTGCAGCTTAAAAAGTTTCTACTACCCGCCGAATGGCATAATTACAACAACAACAAAACCTTATCCTACTAGGTGGGGTCGGCTACATGAATCGCATGACACCATTGGATTCTATCCAAAGCCAAATCTTTGGATATATTGTTAATTGAAATATCTCGCTTAATGACTTTATTAAGTTTTGTTTTCGACCTTCCTCTACTCTTTTTTAGAAGACTCTATACAGTTTGATCAACTCTTCTCACCGGCACGTCCTATGGCCTTCTTTACACGTGACCAAACCATCTCAATCGGTTTTCTACCATTTTCTCATCAATACCAGCCACTACAACCTTTCCTCGTATATGTTCATCACGGATCTTGTCTTTTCTTGTATGACCATACATCCATCTCAGCATTCTTATCTCAACAATTGCCACTTTATGTTCATGTTGTCCCTTTAAAGCCCAACACTCACTCCCATATAGCATTGTTGGTCTTATAACAGCGTGCTAGAACTTTCCTTTGACCTTATTAAGTACTTTCCGATCACAGATAACTCCTGTCGCTTTTCTTCATTTAAACCACTCAACTTGAATTCTATGAATAGCATCTCCATCAATTTCACCATCTTTTTGGATAATTGATCTCAAATATTTAAACTTTTTCACTTGTGGAATGACTTGATCTCCAATTTGACCTCTAAATTTGTTCTAACTTGTCTCTTATAAAAAATGCAATACATATATTCTGTCTTGCTTCTACTCAAACTGAAACCCTCGATTCTAAGGTTCTTCTCCATGTCTCAAGTTTAGTGGTAATCTCTTCTCTTGACTCAGTCAATAAAACTAGTTTATCAGCAAAAAGTATGCACTTTGGATTTTTTTTTTTTATTTGCTCACTTAGAACATTGATAACTAAGTTAAACAAATAAGGGCTCAAAAATAATCCCTGATGTAGGTCAATCCTTATAGGAAAGTCCTTTATCTCACCACCCGGCATTCAAACACTAGTTATGACCTCCTCATACATGTCTTGTATGATTTTGATATAAGCGACACGCACACCTTTCTTCTCCAAAGCTCTCCAAAGCATTTCTCTAAGCACTCGGTCATGAGTTTTTTCTAAATCAATAAAAATCATATGCAAGTCTCTTCTATGGCTTCGATATTTTTTCATTAACCCCCTCAATAAATAAATCGCTTCTGTTGATCTTCCTGACATGAACCCAAACTGGTCTCCAATCTCAACCTATGTTCTATCACCTTCTCCCATAATTTCATAGTATGACCCATGACCTTAACCCCTCTGTAGCTAGTACAATTCTGGATATCTTCTTTATTCTTATAAATAGATACTAAAGTACTTTTTTTCCAATCATCAAGCATTTTCTTGGAGCGCAATATCTCATTAAATAACTTAGTAAGCCATAGCACACCATCTTCACCCAGACATTTTCAAACTTCAATAAGAATACCATTAAGTCTAACTGCTTTATTGTTTTCCATTTTCTTGAGAGTTTCCTTAATTTCAGCAACTCAAATTCTTCAATAAAAAGCTAAATTGTGTTCCTCTTCTCCAATTGTCAAATCTTCAAACTCATAAGTCAATCCTTCACCCCCATTATTAAATAGCTTATAAAAATAGGCTTCCCATCAATCTTTAATATCACTATCAATAACCAAAACTCTACCTTCTTCGTCCTTTATGTATCTTACTTAGTCCAAATCTCTTCTTTTTCTTTCTTTATTCTTTGTAGTCTTGTAAATCTTGCATTCCCCAGCCTTAGTCCCTAAATCGTTATAGAACTCCTCAAAAGCTCTAGAACGTGCTTCACCCACTGATCTCCTAGTCTCTTTTTTGGCTAAACGGTACCTTTCCCAATTTTCAGCATTATTATACAAATGTATTGCTTTAAAACAACCTCGCTTATGCTTGATTTTCTCTTGCACATTCTCGTTCCACCATGTCTCCTTATCTCGCCAACCACGACCTTTCGATCAACCCAAAATTGTTTTAGCAGCCTTCTGGACCTTCTTAGTCATTTCTGTCTACATAAGATTAGCATTTCCTTGTAGCTCCCAAACCCCTTCCTTTAAAAAAGTCTATTTGAAAGTCTCTTGCTTCTCTCCTTTTAACTACCACCATTTGACCCTTGGGGTTGACATTTATTGGCGCTTTTGTTTTACACACATCAAGGACCAATACCCCCTGTTGTGCTGTCACGCCATCTCCAGAAATCACTTTATAATTTATGCAAAATTTTCTATCAGGATTCCTTACCAAAAAGAAATCAATCTGCGACCTCGAGATTCCACTCTTGTATGTCATTAAATGCTCCTCCCGCATCTTAAAACAAGTGTTAACAATCTTGAGGTTGTACGCGAGGGAGAAATCAATAATAGTTTACCCTTCATTATTACGCACTCCAAAACCCATACCACTGTGAGCCCCTACATACTGTCCTGCTCCTTTATCAACATGTCTATTTAGATCACCACCAATAAAAATCTTTTCCACGAGTGGTATGTTTTGAATCAAACCCTCTATATCCGTCCAAAATTTCTCCTTAAGATGGACATCTGCCCCTACTTGAGGTGCATAAGCACAAACCACATTGATAGTATCTCTCCCCATGATTATTCTTAAAGAAATGATTCTGTCTTCTATCCTTTTGACTTCCACCACATTCTATTTCCATTCATTATCAACGATAATACCAACTCCATTCCTTATGCCTACCTTTCCCGTATACCAAAGTTTGAATCCATTAGTAAATTCGAAAGCCTTCTCTCCAACGTATTTAGTTTCTTGGAGCCACAAAATATTAATCTTCCATTTGTCCATTATTTTCACCACCTCCCTTGATTTACCATATAGGGTCCCGATGTTCCAAGTGCCAAACCTGATCTTGCTTTCATGAACTAACTTTTTAACCACCTCCGTCCATAAAAGTGCGATAGCCCTTGCTCATTTAACACTACATTCGGGCGACAATGCGACGGCTCTTGCTCACTTCTCATTGTACTCGAGCCATATAACGCGTTACTTTCGCAACGACCTAGCAGTAGCACAATTTCTTTGTGGATCCATATCATAAAAGATTCGACAGGATTTTACGTTAGCTGTTGATGGCCTAACACAACCCTCCTTCTTTACCCGGGCTTGAGACCAACTATGCAACATAGGCTGAATGGCACAATTATAAAATTATAATTCTTATGAGGGAATTTTTTTAGTTCAACAATATAGAGAACCAATAACATATCATTACATAATTTTGAATGCTGCTTTGATGGCTAATAAAACTGTGGAGGATACTAGTTGCCATAAGCAGACAAGTCTGTTGTTCAAGTTGGATCATGAAATGACCTATGAAAGGGTAGATCAAGGTTCCTTAGATGAAGCTTTTAGCAAAGAGTTTGAGGATAAATGGCAACAATGGAACAAAGGTTGCCTTTACTCTATGGTGTCCACAAGGTCTTAGTATCAAGGTCAGCAAAGAGCAAGGTGAGGCAACCTCGTTTTTCTCCATTTCTGCTAACCCTTGTTGTGCATGTGCACATAAAACCATAAAATGGTGTAATATCATGTGGCCAAGAAAGAAATCACTTAGAGAAACTATAAAGTGACTAAATCAATCCGCGTACTGCTTAATTCACATAATCACTCTTGTACACATTTTATCTCTAATTATACACAATTAACCAATTAACAGGCGTCAAAAGCCTAAGATTAGATATAGAAATATATGAAATAATAGGATTTATCAGGGTGTTCTATGTTTCAACATGAGCTTCATAGATGTAGGGTCTGATGAAACATTTGGACTTTGGTTGAGAGGGCTGAGAGTTTGCTCACATAAAATGACACTATTCATTGTCTTTCTAAAGGTAGAAATAGCGTTTTGATCACCCATCCCGGGTTCAAGCCTTTAAACTATGTTTGAATCAATGTGTTACAAGGGAACGGGGCCAAATGGATAGATAGAAAGTTAGCCCTATTTGGGAGATTTTATAAAAAAGGGAAAAGGAGGAGACAGTCAGGCAATTTAGTTTACTGTTTTATCCTTTTTCTTATATACGTAGTCACAGTCAAATAGGGCTTATCTTGGGAATTCAACGGATATGCCTCGTTGTTCCTACCATTCACCCCTCCTCTCCGAAACTACCAAATCTTAGTGGTTTTAAGCCTAAGTTAATCTTGCTAAATGTGGCCTGGTTAGTATTTCAATAATGTGTTGCAAGCATCATAGCTAGGTACCAAGTTGTTTATCTTTACGGTGGCCCTTCATCTATCTAGGAGTCCCTTTGCTGGCAATCCCTCATGCATGCTTCGGGATCTAATGGTTCAGACAATAACCAAGATGCTTGACATTTATCACAAATCCTCTCTGCTGCCTTTCTTTGCTCAGGAAACCTAATGAAATAGTTGAGAAAGTTAACGCATCCAAGTTGGATATTCTATGGCCAGGTTTTGAGGATGGTGAGAGATATCATCTAGTAAGCTGGAAGGATTGTCACGAGTAAAAATCAATTTGGGGTCTTAAACATCAAGTACTAGACCATGTAGTTAATCCTCCGTGACAAGAAGCAGTAAACAGTAAACAAACTGCATGCTAAACTGCTGAAAATCCTAAACTTGATCAGTACCAGTCATGCAAATCCTTGGAAAGCTAGAACTGTTAAAAACTGCCTTCCAAATCACTAGTATTTTTCCTACTTGCAGTCTAAGATGGCCCAGAAACATACTCTCCTAATGGAAATATAGAAAATTTTACAGAAGCGTTCCTGACTACTTAGTAGCATTAGTGACAAGGAGAACTAAATGTGTCAATTTCAGTTGCTGGATACTTTCGTCCTGTTTTCTATTCATCTCTGTTCTCTTCATAGTAATGCAAAATAAATAAAGATGCAGTTTCACAACTAAAGGATTGGGTTATTGACAGAGCACGATGGCGTCGTGTGATTCATGTAGCCGACCCCACCTAGTGGGATAAGGCTTGTTGTTGTTTGTTTGTTTGTTTCACAACTAAAGTTGTTTTGTTTTACATTCACGAAGCAATCCAAGAGCAACCGAGCAGAAAATGAAGGCAAAACAACATTGTTAGTGTCACCTCAAGGAATAGTATGGTACTAGGGCCCAACCGCTCCAGAGTAAAATATATTCGAAAAATTATAAATAAAATAAAAATGGAAAAAAAGATATTCCGGAGGAAGTAAAGAATTTCGTCCCAATATCATGCCAAATGAAAAGGGGAACTACAATCCAGTGACAAGGTTATGACTGAAAACAGCTCCTGCCCTTGTAAGGGATGCCTTGAAGTCAAATTCCAGAAAACTTGAGACTAACCGCAACATTTTTAAAAACATTAAAGGAGGGCAAAAGATCCAAACTTGTTATTCAAATTTTAGACTTGCTGCTGCTAAAATAGAAGAGACCCACGCATTAATAACAAAGCCACTATCAAATTTCACTCCTTTGGTAAAAGTGATACGCAATACAAAACAAGCAAAATGCACACTTTCGCCATAACAGCCATTCATACGGCAAAATTTTAAAATAGAGAAGCTGGAAACAAAAGCGATAGCAAAACCCAGAAAGCTCGAGTAGTCCCAATCTTGCACATAGCGAGCCACATAAAATTTGGTAAAAAAAAAAAAATCTAAACATGACCCAAAAAAGCACACTGTTTGAGTCAACAAAATAGTAAATTAGTCACCCGCATCGATCACAGAGCTCAGCGAAGTCTCCAGTACGGAGTCTCCAACCCTTCTTAGGTCTGTCTGACTTCAATTCTTTACACTCGGAATTGTAGCAGACCTTTGACGAGGAAGAAGAACCCACAGTGGCCATTGGAACTCAAGGACGTAAATATCAAGCCGAAGAAACTGCGGAAGACCTCAGCTTGATGCGTGAGGAAGGCCAGAAAAAGCTCAAATGGTTGGTGCGTCCTGATCTGTAATCATGGGCGTGAGAGGAGGGGGCGAGGAGGTTGAAGAAGGGTTTTGAGAGAGAAAAATGCTCTCTTTTTTTTTTTTAAGGGGGCCAGTGAGGTGAGAGAGAAAGTGGGGCTCGTTGCAGTAACAGTGTGTGTGAGACCAAGAAGAGAGAGGGGTCGCGCTTGCGTGATATGAATATCTACGGTAAGTGTGCGCAAGAAAAGAAGCATTTATTCGGCGTCGTCGCTTCTCTCCTTTTCAAAACTTTTTCTTGCTTACCATGGGATTTGCATTGGGTGCTCATCAGGTGATGAGCACCCAATGCTCATCACCCATCTGGACCATCCAGATTAGATCTGGACGGTCCAGATTTATTTTTATTTTTATTTTTATTTTTTTAAAAATAATTATTTTAATAGGTATAAGATAAAAAATAAAGATAATCTCATAACTATCATTTTTTAAAAATATAATTTTTTCTATTTTAAAATAATTATTTAATAATATTAAATCTGGACCGTCCAAATTAAATCTGGACGGTCCAGATTGCTCATCAGGTGATGAGCATTGGGTGCTCATCACCTGATGAGCACCAAATGGGAACCCATGTTCGTCCCTTCTCGGTGTTGGCACTCTTCTAAATTATGGAAACAGTTATCTACTCTTACCTAATCCCATCTTCAATTCTCAATATCCCAATCTCAATCTGCGATTATTCCCCCTCTTCCAATTACTTTTCCTTCTATGCACACTGCACTTTGACACAAAACTACTTACACTTTGCCAGTATTTTATTATTCTGACAATAATATCAATTAAAATTTTATACATGTTTTTTCAATTAACCACGTGCATCTTTCTATCAAAAGTAGTCTGTTCAAGTCATTATGTGACTTGAATGTTGGCAGTTTCTGCCAACATGGTTTTATGCATATTGATATAAATTAAAAAAATAATTAATGCCGTAGATCTGTCAAGCTTTTTTGTCATATCCTTAGGAGGATTTAAGTTAGGATACACTTTATCTCATCTTTGCTATTGGAAACTGTGTTAAATATAATTGATGTGAATAAAAAATAATGAATAAAAACATTCCTGAATAAATTGGTCAATAACATACCTTAAGGTTTTTATTATTATTTTTGCACTTGACATATGGAAAGGGGGGAATAAATTAAAATAAAGAAAACAGCGCAAGAATCGGGCTTATTTAGGAACGAATCTCCTGAATACTTACGTACACCAGTTCAGCCTCCCGCGCATGAAACCTTAGTTTCGCTAAATACTTATCCATTACCTGTTTAATAAAAATGCTCGTGTGGGATGGGTCGGAATATTTTTTATAATTTAAAATTAAAGAAAACACAAGGGGGTGTTGGTGAGAGGTTAAAGGGGTGTTTGGATGGAAACCAAACCATGATTTTAGAAGTGATTTTACTGTCTATAAAGTAAATATGTGAAGGAATTTATCTCGATTTACGAAAAAATATTTCTTAAAAGTATTTTTCAGGATATCCAAACACCTTTTAAATTTGAATGCGGGTTGACTGGTGCCGGGGATTGTGGTGTGGCGTGTCTGGCTGCGAGATATTTACGACCCGAGAATAGCCCACGTGAATTAAGCGGGGACGCGGCGAGTGAAGTTGAAGGCGAGGGAGCATGGCGCGTGGGCGTGAATCTGCGTTGAATGTGATTTTGCCAAATGATCGTGCATGGCCCGCTCATGTCATGCAATCACGTAGTCGCAAGGCCCCCTTCCCAATAGGTGCTCGGCTCCGGCGTCCTGGTCCACGCGCTTTGACAAGTTCACTTCCCAAGTCATCATACTTTCCGCCAATCCTTTTCTTTTTCCGTCCTGTACTTCTGTTTTCCTCCCCCCTCCTCCGCGCTCCTTTTTCCATTTTTCTCCGTTTTACACAATGATTAAAGAACCGGAACGGACCGGACGGTCGGACCGGTTGAACCGTCGCCCGGACTCGTTAACGGCTCGGTTTGGACCAAAAAACCGTTCACATAGTTAAGCCGGATTGGACCGGAGTTGAGCCGTTATTAAGCCGGAAACCGGAGTTGGACCGGGAACCGGAACGGTTTTCAGAAAACCGGACGGTTTTTTTAGCCTGACTGAAAAATAATAAAAAATTTTAAAAAAATAGAAGAAAAATAAAAAAAATTGATCCCCTTAAATATCCTAATATATTTTTAGACTATTTATAACCATATAGTATTATTTCATTGAAAATTTCATATATTGTGGTGTTAAAATCGTGAGTCGCTAGTCTTTTTGTTTCGATATTTGGTCTATCTTTTAAAAAAATATGTTGATTTGAATGAATTGATAATTTGTAATATCATTAAATATTTTAAACATACATAAATTTAAATATATAAGGTTTTAGTCCATTTTCAATGATTTCATTATAATTTTAGATTATTTAAATGCATTTCTAAATTATTTAATAATTTGATATTTTTCATATATACTAATTATATGTATATAATATTGTTTTAAATTAATTATTGCGTCACCGGTCTGACCAAACGGTCCGACCGATCCGACCGATTGAACCATAACCCGTTGATCTTTCCGGTTCGACTTCCGGTCCGGCTTTTAAAACATTGGTTTTACATGACGTTTTGCGTTCAACAACAGATCTCTTTTTCCATTCCCTCCCCTGTCTTTAACTTTATTACGAGAGACCGCGGATGGATATATACAGTGTGGATGTATGACAAATTAGCAACAGCTATTTTCATGGGTCATCACGAACCCTTAAAATTTTCACATTTTACATATCATGATTTATGTATAGTATTGACGTGTCTTTATATATATACCATCTCTATTTCTTGATATTAGTAAGATACTTTAAAAAAGACAATACATATTTATTATAATCAATTTTTTGACTTAAATATTTATTACTCCTCCGGTCCTTAATATAGGACCCAATTATTGAGTTGGTTTTGGTCCTAAATATAAGACCCATTTCTCGTATTTATCAATTTTCTCTAAATTACCCCTATAGATATTTCTTCAACCATAATCAAATAGAAGAAGGAGATGGGTATTAAAAAAGATGATTATGGTGTTTTAGGAAAAATGTGTCACTTTTCTTATAATTAATTAACTTACCTAACTTCCTTAATCTAATCAAATTAGTTAAATGGGTCTTATATTAAGGACCGGAGGAGTACAATTAATTAACTTAACTAATTTTTTTAATCTATTCAAATTAATAAATCAGTTCTCATATCAAGTATCCAAGGTAGTATATAAGTTTGGAGGTACAAATTCTAATTTTGCAAGCTCAATTTTCATCCAATAATTCTTGTTTGGCTCCCCCCCCCCCTCTCTAATTTGAGTTTTATTGCTCGAACCTTGATTTTTCCAATGTACGTAAGTCGAATGTTTGCTTTTACCAAACCGGACTTCATGAATAGAGTTTTCCCAGCACTATTTTCAATAACTCATCCAAACATGTTTGACCTTTTGAAATTTCTTTTATCATGCATAGACATAAATCAGAAAAAAAAAATTGGAGAAATTTTTTACATTCAAAATTTATATTGATAAGAATAACTTGAATTAAACCACCGCACTTTGTACGTACAAAGTTTGTAAGGTATTAATATAGCCTATTTATAACAATTTATTAAGTATTTATTATCATAAAATTTTTAATGGAGGAATTTTTCTCAAGTTTTCATGTAAATTACGAATAGATAATTAGATACATTTTTTTTTAAGTAATTAGACAATGCAGCTTAGGTCAAATCTAGTCTGGTCATTCTTTAATTAAAAAAATTGACGTTTTATTTAACGCGTGTATGTGGGCGCGTGAGATGTTGACCTCCACATTTTATTCATATAATTAAATTCGAATACGTATGCACGTAACACGTTAGTATATCCCGCAATTAAGTTATTGGATTGACAGGGTTTTACGTTATTGACCCGTGGGGATAATTATTATTTATAGAATCATTAATTATAATGATACACTTTACTAAATATAACAATTATCCTCTTCTGCATGGGGGAGTAGTTAATTACGTGTTACTCTATCAGTCAAAAAAATCAGAGATAAAATTAGAAATAAACCAGAATAATCATTTCAAAATTAAATATTGAATTGTATATTTATGTATCTATGCGTCCCAGTGAAAAGGAAAGCAAAGAAAAAAACACACACAAAAGCACACAGCCAATTATCCACCCGTGTAGAATACGCAAAGTTAGCAAAAAGTATCATGATTCTCTGTTGGTTGGGAGAGCAGAAACTTTATGTAAATAATAAGAAAATCCAAAGGAATTTGATCAAGGAGACTTATTAAGTTGGGAAATGAAATGCATGGTACTTCGAACGCCCTTGTGTAATTTTCAGGGTTTTGGATATTATGATGAAATTACTCTCTAAATCCGTTTTTAAAATAGCTAACTTAGCTTTAAGATTCGTAGATATTGAGGAAGTAGATAAAATTAGTTATTGTCTTAAAAATTTCAGTTCATTTCCAATTTTATTCATAACTTATTAGAGATATACTCCGATCCTTTAACTTTATTTATAAGCAAAAGGAGAAGGATTTTCTTAATCCTAATATCACATCATTGAATTTGTAACATAAATGTACTATTTTACTTTTTATGTATTATTGTGCGGTATATTATGACTTTCTTAAACAGGGGTAGGGTTAAAAATTGTTAAATTTCAAAACATACTTAATACTCCTCTTGTCCTACTTATGAGGCAAAGAAATAGAAAAATTTTTGGTTCCATTTATAGGACAGAAAGAGAAACTTTTAATACGAATGTACTCCTCCGGTCCTAAATATAAGACGTCTTTTGTAATGTAAATTATACTATAAAAGAGTCTTATTACACTACAAGAATGGTTTTATATTTAAGACCAGAGGAGTACAATTTTATCATTCATTCATTATTATATTAACTTTATTCTTAATGTATATAATGTATATTAAATAAGAATATAGCTAGAGAGCTATTAAATTTTAAAAGAAAGTTAATAAATTTTTTTTTGTTTATATAAAATCTGTTGAAATGACTTGTAATAAAATTTCATAAGGCATTTTCCATTGAAAAGGATGATAAATTA